AGGAACTCCATAACCAAACACAGAAATAATTCGAGACATCACCTGCGACAGAGGAGGCCACTCTAGGTTAGTTGATTATTATTATTTTAGAGTGTTGTATGAACTGCTAAAGGTAAAGAATCAGCTATGACATTGCAAATAGACTGTGAATGATAAATCTGAAGAAATGAGTAAGGACGTGGTCTTGGCTTATTTTATGATTACTGTAAAAATCTGGGAAGACAACAACTTGCATTCACAGGTCTACATTCAATCTGAGTATCTCCTGCTATGCAGTCAGGATAGCTCATCTGGTATAGTGTTCTTTTGCTTTATTCTTTCAGGGTCTTGATACTACAAGTACTAGTATTTGCTGGGCAATCTATCTGTTAGGTCTGCACACCGACATACAGGTAAGAAATTAAATATGGGCTACCATGACACTCTGAGGACCCTGAATGAACACAGTCATTATATGAGAAAAGTTCTCATAGCGGTAAAAGTGTTGATAGTTTTCTGGTCTGTAACACCATGTGGACTTGTGAAGTAGGTACCAATGTTTCTGAGAAACACACTGTTTCCATCTTCATGGCTTCTCCAAAATGCGGTACCTACAAGTCCACACGGCGTTACAACCCAAAGATGAATGTTGACAACGCAGCCATTCTTCATTCATCAGTCAGGTGTTACATGATCCCTGATTTAGTTACAATTTCCATACTAAAAATCAATAATACTAACATGACTGCCATACACACTTCTGAGGCAGAAAGACACAACTTCCCTCTATAATTATCAGCCTAAAATACACTATCATAATGACTGACAGAATGCTGTGCCTTTACAGAAATGCTTCATTTGTAAGACTGGAAGGGTTAGGACGCCAGATTTGTCAGTGAATTTGCAATTCAATTAAAAAGTTATATATTGATTTGGTTAGTCAGAGACATTGAGAGACAGCCAGGCAGTCATTCATACACTTCTTCATGGGAACAGTATGCTCCTTAGTCAATCAATATAATGAAAAAGGAAACAGAAATTTTCTCAGAGAATTGTAAAAAAAAAAACCGCCACCTGCAGATGGACTGATATGTTCCAGAACAACGTATATGAGGAGCTGAAACAGATCTTCCAAGGATCTGACCGCCCTGCCAAGATGAAGTTCCTAAGTGAGATGAAATATTTTGAGAGGGTCATCAAGGAGTCTCTAAGATTGTACCCAGTGTATCCTTCATTGCCAGAGAAATAACAGAGTACATAGAGAATGCGATTTTAGGTTACCAACGTGACAAGTATAAGATGGCTGCCTTCCAGTTTGCTGCACCTGAGCAAGGATTGCGCCAGATATTGGTCAGGAAGCCTGAGTGGAAGAGACTGCTGTGGAAACATACATGTAGAAGGGAGGATGATATCATACATGTAGAAGAGAGGATGATATCAAATAAAATCTCTGGGAGAGAGGAGTTGAAGGCCACTGGATATTGCTGGCCCATGACAGGGACTGGTGGAGTGCTTTGGTTAATTCGGTGATGAACCTTCAGTATCCCTAATCCATCTACTTTGATAGTTAGCTTTAATTTAGTCTCTTGACTGAAATACATGAAGCTATATTTTAAGTATAACAGATATTTCATGACAGTGTCCATTTTATGTTTATTAACTACATATTCATTATCTTTTAATTATCCTGTAGTCAACAATCATCCTCACTATTTGAATAGAAATCTACAAAGAACAGTTCTAACTGAAAACATAAACACATGTGGGAGAAATGAGTTATACACAATCTTACCACATTGCTCTGAAGGGTTAAACATGTTTGGAAATAATTAATATTATTTTAAAATTTGTTAATAAATATCATTCTTATTGACCGTAGATATCAGAAACAAAGGCAAGGAGAAGGTTTCTCCATACAAATAATCCTGATTTCATTCTGGATCCTAACCTTCGAAATTCAGAACATTTCAGATGTCATTCAACTTCGCACATTACTGCTAGTCTGGTAGGACATGGGCTGTTCTCTGCTTAAGTGGGTACTGCACAACTCAAGGCCTTATCTCACCCCACTGAACTAGCTGCATTTCTTTCAAATTGGAGGAGTTGCTACTGATCTTAACATTAATAAACTTAAAATGGCTCAAATTCAATTCATCTCCCAATGTTGCAAAATCCATAACTATACCCTCAATCCATATGGAATTTCAAACAAATATATAATACCTGCTTGAGTAAACATAAAATGGACACTGTTATAAAATATTAGTTACACCTAAAATATAGCTCCATGTATTTCAGTCAAGAGACTAAATTGAAACTAACTAACAAAGTAGATGGATTAGGGATACTGAAGGTTCATCACCGAATTAACCAAAGCACTCCACTGGTCCTTGTCCTGGGCCAACAAAATCCAGTGGCCTTCAACTCCTCTCTCCCAGAGATTTCATTTGATATCATCCTCCCTTCTACATGTATGTCTCCTCAGCAGTCTCTTCCAGTCAGGCTTCCTGTCCAATATCTGGCGCAA